CTGACTGATTGGAAGAGATCCGTATTTGTGCCCATTCCAAAGAGAGGTGACCCAACGGAATGTGGAAATCATCGGACAATCTCTTTGATATCCCATGCAAGTAAAGTTTTACTAAAGGTTATACAGAAATGGCTGCAAGCATACATTGACAGAGAACTTCCAGAGGTTCAAGCCGGATTCAGAAGAGGCCACAGATATCATTGCTGATGTCTGATGGATCTTGGATGAAAGCAGAGAGTATCAGAAAGATGTTTACCTGTGCTTTATTTACTACGCAAAGCTTTCAATTGTGTGGATCATGACAAGGTATGGACAACATTACGAAGTATGAGTATTCTGGAATACTTAATTGTGCTCATGAGAAATCTGTAATTGGACCAAGAAGCAGTTGTTTGAACAGAACATGAGAACCCTGAATGATTTAAAATTAAGAAAGATTTCGACAGGGTTGTATTCTTTCACTATACGTATTCAACCTGTATGCTGAACAAATAATCCGAGAAGCTAGATTATATGAAGAAAAATGTGACATCAGGATTGGAGGAAGACTCATCAACAACCTGCGATATGCAGATGATACAACCTTGCTTGCTGAAAGTGAAGAAGACTTGAAACATTTACTGATGAAGACCAAAGACTCACAGCCTTTGGTATGGATTACATCCCAATGTAAAGAAAACAAAACTCCTCACCACTGGACCAGTAAACAACATTCTTGTCAACAGAGAAAAGATTGAAGTTGTCAAGGACTTCAATTGTCTTGAATCAGCTATCAACACTCATGGAAGCAGCAGTCAAGAAATCAAACGATGTATTGCATTAGGCAAATGTGCTCCACAAGGCCTTTTTTAAGTGTTGAAGAGCAAAGATGTCAGCTTGAGGACTAAGGTGCACCTGACCTAAGCCATGGTATTTTCAATAACCTCAAATGCATGAGAAAGCTGGACAGTAAATTAGAAAGAACGTAGAAGAATTGATGCTTTTGAGCTATTGTGTTGGAGGAGAATATTGGAAGTGCCATGGGCTGCCCGTAGAACCAACAGATCTGTGTCAGAAGAAGTACAACCAGAGTGCTCCTTGGAGGTCAAGATGGCCAAACTTCGTCTCTCATACTTGGGACATATTTTCAGGAGAGACCAGTCCCTGGAGAAGGATATCATGTTTGGTAAGGTGGAGGGTCAGAGAAAAAGAGGAAGACCCCCAACGAGATGGATTGGCCAAGTGGCAGCATCGATGGGCTCAAGCATGGCAACAGTAGTAGTGAGGTTGGCCCAGGATTGGGCAGTGTTTCGTGTGCTGCACGTAAGGTCGCTACAAGTCAGTCCTGACTCGATGGCACCTAACAACAACAATAATTGATGACTGGAACTGTGGCTGCTGTGGCAGGGGCAGAGCAAATTATTTCACGGGCCGTACCAGACTGAACTTTCCCCATCTGTGCTATATTGAGTTTCTGAGGCTACAGTCTTTATGGGAACAGAAAGCCTCATCATTATCCTGAGGAGTGGCTAGTGGATTTGAACTTCCCACACTGTAGCTAGTACCCCAATGTGTAACCTACTAGACTACCAGGGCCCTAAGAAACCCTATGGTGATCATGGTGGCTGTGTGCCCTGGAGTTGGCTCTGACTCATAGTGAACCCTACATAGGGTTTCAGAGGCTGTCAATATTTATGGAGTAGAAAGCCTGATTTTTCTCCTGTAGAGTAGGCTAGCAGATTTGAACTGCTGAACTTGCAGTTAGCAGCCCAATGTGTAACCCACTATGCCACCAGAACTCCTTAAGAAACTATGGTTATTGGTGGTTGTGTGCCACTGAGTGGGGTCTGACTCCTAGCGACCCTGTGTAGGGTTTCCGAGGCTGTAAATCTTTACTGGAGCAGAAAACCTCGTCTTTCTTCCTTGGAGTGACTGGTAGGTTCAAACTGCAGCCCATCTCAGAATCCACTCCCCTGCTAGGGCTCCTGGGGCAACAGGGTGAAGTCAAAACTCATTTTCAATTCTTTTAATCATTCTATCCAAAGCATACTTGCGGTTTATTAAGTGCCATTCAATTGGTTCTGACTCATAGTGACCCCGTATAGGGTTTTCAAGGAGTGGCTGGTGGGTTTGAACCATCGACCTTTTGGTTATCAGTCCAGTGCGGATCCTACAGCACCACACCAGGACTCCAAGGCATAATGTTGTTGTTGTTATATACCATGGAGTCAGTTCCAACTCATAGTGACCCTGCACAGGGTTTCCGAGGCTGTAAATCTTTATGGGAGCAGAACGCTTCATCTTTGTCCCGCGGAACCACTGGTAGTTTCGAACTGCCTACCTTGAGGTTAGCAGCCCGATTCGTAACCACTAATAATAGTTAAAGAAATTGCTTTATTCTCCTCAGGGCTTGGGCTAAGTTCTGCAGAGCTTCCCAACCAGCTAAGCATGACCGATTGGCCAGAAATGAAAAAGAGATTTGCTGAAGCATTTTCAAAGAAGACAAAGGCCGAGTGGTGTGAGATCTTCGACGGGACAGACGCCTGCGTAACTCCTGTTCTGACGATCCAGGAGGCTGCCCAGCATGATCATCACAGAGAGAGAGGCTCGTTTATCACCGATAAAGAGCAGGGTGTGAGTCCCCGCCCCGCACCTCTGCTCTCTGTCACCCCTGCCACTCCTTCTCTCCAAAGGGATGCTTTTGTGGGCGAGCACACAGAAGAGATACTTACAGAATTTGAGTTCAGCCAGGAAGAGATCAATCAGCTGAAATCTGCTAAGATTATTGAAAGTTGTAAACCAATATCAAATCTGTAATGTGGAGGCCCACAGCTCAGATGAATTTGACTATTGCAGTCACAGTATCTAGTAATATGTAGGTTTGTGTGCATGGAATGCAATAGAGGAACATCACAATAGTTGACCTCTTCTGATTAAGAAATCACCGCAGACTTGATAACCCAGTAATGGTTGAGTTTTCCAGTGACTAACAGCAGGGCTTATGGTTTAAGAATGATTCTCGCCCTCCAGTTAACCTGAGGGAATGTATGACAGGACTTGAAAAAGTCCATGGAAAAATGGACTGACGAGAAGAAATTTCTCCATGAACTTTTTGAAGCCCCCTCGTATTTATTAGTATTCAAATACTAAACAATGTATTTTAAATGCATTTCATGAATAAAGCTTATATTTTTGTCTAAAGTTTACTTCTGTTTATAAGTTTGTGAAGCATTTTCAAGAAAGTTTTTAAATAGTGTTTTGAGACCCTGAAATATTTTGAACTCACTGGTTTACCAGAGTGGGTACCTTTTAGGGAGAAAAGTCTGACCCTTAGAATTTGATAAGGAAATAATTCTTTATATGGGAGTTTCAGAGAATGTTTCTGAGGATTCCTCTGATGTCTGCACCTCTCCATCTGGAGACCCTTCTGTAAGCCCAATCCTCTGTGTAGCTGCCTGCAACATCCCTCAAGTGTGTCTCAGTAAACGCACCATCATCCATTGGGAAGTATCCTAGACTCCATTCCACTCCTTCCTTTCTCCTCGTGCCTCACTCTTCCCAATGGTCCCGTGGCTCACCTCGGACTTCCTCAGACCACTGCCCAAATGTCACCTCATGGAGAGTTCTTGTCTGTATCCTGTCTAGAATAGGAGCCACCCTCTCACTGAATCTCCCCTCACTCACCTTTATTTTCCTTCAAGGTATGTATCACTGCCAACATCATCTATTAACCGCAACCTTCTCCCCCTCCCCACCAACACACACTAGAAGCTTTACTGGGGCACTTCTAGAATATTGCCTGGCCCACAGTGGAAACCTGGTAACTACTTATTGAATGAATGAATGAATCAGTAGCCCAACTGTCATCGGAGTTGCTGCTGCTGTGTGCTGTCTTGTCACTTCAGACTCCTAGTGATCCTGAAGAGCATTTCTGAGGCTGTAAGTGTTCTAAATAAGTTAAGTGCCATCAAGTTGGTTCAACTCATAGCAACCCTGAATTGGGTTTCCAAGGAGCGGCTGATGGGTTTGAACCACTGACCTTGTGGTCTAGTGTTTTGCCCTACGGTGCTATGTCAGCACTTGCATCTAACTATGTTGTTGTTAAGTGCCGTTGAGTTGGTTCTGACCCATAGCGACCATGTGTAGGGTTTCCGAAGAGTGGCTGGTGAGCTTGAACCACCGACCTTACGGTTCAAGCCAACTTTGCAGTCCTCACACTGCATTAACCCACAGCGCCACGGCAGGACTAGGATGTTAAAGTGCTGCAATGAAGCAAAGTCCAGATGAGAGAAGACTAGGAATTTAGAGGCAGGTATGACCTCACTCTGTTTTAAATCTAGTGATTTGCTCCTCAGTTGTGTGTTTAGAAAGCTGTTCTCAGGAAAGGTCAGAACTAGTCTAAAGAAATGCAGAAAAAGATACCAACTCTTACTTTGATTCATAGCACCTGTGTGTGAGTGAGTGTAAGAGTGTGTGTAGGAGAGAGCACAATGGGGGAACCCTTCAGGAAACTAGGGAGGCAGCTAATCTCGGTCATGCTTTTCCCACACCCCTCCTCTCCTCATAACTTGTGATCTTGGCGGCAGGAAAGGATCTGGGCCCCTCCCCCTGCCTGACCATCGCTGTGGGCTGCCTAGTCAGGCTCCTTGTTGAATCCACTCTGGAATACAGACCCGAGGGCTACACAGGAGTTGGTGGGCTTGTTGGATGGTTCCTCACCCAGTGGCCATGGGGGACGATAGTGGCCAGGCTGACCTTCACATCTATAAATCCTTAGCTGAGGATGGCTGTCATGACTTCATGAAGCCACCTAAAAGGACCACGGGCAGACTGGTCATGCACAGCATGGCCATGTTTGGCCGGGAGTTTTGCTATGCAGTGGAGGCAGCTTATGTGACTCCAGTCCTGCTCAGTGTGGGCCTTCCCAAGAGTCTCTACAGCATGGTGTGGCTCCTCAGCCCCATCCTGGGGTTCCTGCTGCAGCCAGTGGTCGGGTCAGTCAGTGACCACTGCCAGTCCAGGTGGGGCCGGCGGAGACCCTACATCCTGACCCTGACCATCCTGATGCTCTTGGGCATGGCTCTGTACCTCAACGGGGATGCTGTTACATCAGGTAAGTGGGCAGGCAGGGACACTGTCCTTTTCAGGAGGTCCCTAGGAGAGTGTGAATTTCCTGATCTGACTCTTAGAAATTAACTAGACAGGGTTCTCTCAGATTACAGCGAAATTCTACCTGTGACTGGCTCAAATTCTGTGGTTGGGGAGCCTTTGCTTTGATAAATATCAGGAGGCATTGTTTTGTTGTTAGGAAGATTTTAAAATAGAATTAAATTTTATCTGTTTTGTCTCATTTCAAAGCAACAGTCGAGATTTGTGTTAATCCATTCATTACAACCCCTTCTAATATTTTCTTGATTGACCTGCTGCCAAAGGGCTCCAAAATATGTATAATAAGTCACCATTGTGACCAAATACGGGGATAGGTTGAAAAGTATTGCTATAAATTCATGCAAAATTTTATGAAACAAAAATAGCAAACTGTGAAGCAAACTTGACTCAGCCTCCATCCAGGTCTATACACTTCTGAAGACCACAGGGTTGGTAGTTCAAACCCACTAACTGCTCCTTGTAAACCCTATACAGGGTCACTATGAATCAGAATCGACTCCCCAACACCTTACAACAACAGCAACACTTCCCCCAGAGAATTCTGAGTTCTTCAATTAATATCACATGAAAACAAAAGTTTTGGCATCCATGAGGAATTCAAATTCTGTTCCTTTCCAATGTTCTTTGAGTTTGGGGAACAAAAAGAAGGCTGAAGGGGCAGGATCACAGCTCAGGGTGGGTGGGGTCAGGGTTCCCAACAAAATTCTTGTAGGACAGCCCTTGCTACCCTCGAAGAATGAGTCGTGATGGAAAAAGTTCCTCAGCACAACTTTCCTGGCCCTTTTCTCACAAATGCAGTTTTTAATTATCTTGAAACTTCTTCCTAATAAGCTTGTGTGATCATCCTGTGTCCTTAAAGAAAACCTATCAGAATTACTCTTGGTGATGGTGGTGGTGGTGTGCCGTGGAGTCAATTCTGACTCATAGCAATCTACATAGGGCTTCTGAAGCAGTAAATTTTTATGGGCGCAGAAAGCCTCATCTTTCTCCCATGGAGCTGCTGGTAGTTTTGAACTTCTGATCTTGAGATTAGCAGCCCGACTCATAACCACTACGCTACTTAGGAATCCCCTCAAAACAGTCACTATAATCTGAGCTGACCTCTCTATACCTTGAATTCATCTTTGAGGTCTTCCAGACCTTCCTTAAAGTGCTTGATCTGTATAAAAACTGTTGTATTATATAGAGCATCATTTCCGGAAAGTTGTTGCAAAGCTTCAATGATTTGGGTAGATGCTTACTTGAATTCTGTTAAATATTTGATTTTATAACTGACATCAAAATCAATTTTTCCCTTACACAAAGTATCAATTCTTTTTAATGGCATCCTAACAAGACTAAGAATTACTGAGAGAACTTGTCTGTAGCCATCCACTGATGACAGAGACATATAGAGAGATGTTTTGTTTGGAAGAAGCCCATGCACGTATGAACTGGAACTCTAGCAGCAATACTTTTTGACTCCCCCTAGTAAGAGTTAATTCTGTGCACAGCTTTCCGTGGAGACTTTTCTGAGTGCATGCCATCAGCCTGTCAGCCCAAGGGGACATTTTTACATTGCAAATTCTGGACAAAATCAAACCTAATGGAAAACACTTTTTGTAGTCATTATTCAGGCACGAATTAATCAGTAATTGGTGATAGGACATTAAAGGTTGCAGTGAAAAAAAAGATGATTAAAATTAAAAATAACATTCGTGTTTAGATTTTTATCTCTAAAGCCAGTGAAATAAAGGAGTCCTGGTATGGCGCTGTGGGTTAATGTGCTATACTGCAAAGTTGGCAGTTCAAGCTCACCAGCTGCTCCCTGGAAGCCCTGTGCAGGGTTGCTGTGGGTCAGAACCGACTCTACGGTATTCAACAACAACAGTGGAATAGATGATTGTGAGGCAGGATATCCAGTTATCATTTGTATATATGAAGTTGTTGTTGTTGTCAGGTGCCATCGAGTTGCAACTGACTCATAGTGACCCTATGCACAGCAGAACGAAACAATGCCCGATCCTGGGCCAACCTCACTACCACTGCCACACTTGAGTTCATCAATGATGCCACCTGGCCAATCCATCTCGTTAGGGGTCTCCCTCTTTTTCTCTGACCCTCCACCTTACCCAGCATGACATCCTTCTCCAGCGACTGTTCCCTCCTGACAATATGTCCAAAGTATGAGAGACGAAGCTTAGCCATCCTGGCCTCCAAGGAGCACTCTGGCTGCACTTCTTCCAAAACAGATGTATTGGTTCTTTTGGCAGTCCATGGCACTTTCAGTACTCTCCTCCAACACCACAACTCAAAGGCGTCAATTCTTCTACGATCTTCCTTATTCATGTATATATGAAGAAGAGGCCTTAAATACATAAATGTTAGCTATTTCTGGAAGAATCTTCTACACACTCACATACACCAAAAGCAGATAGAAGTATCTGCCTCCTAGGGAGAAGAACTAAAGGGCTGGAGGTAAGAAGTGGAGGGTGAACTTATGTTTCACTTATTTTTATACTGTAACTGGTTTAAACTGGATTTTTTATTAGATGATTTCACCATTGAGTCAGTTCTAAAGATTAACGACCCTATAGCACAGACTAGAACCAACCCACTGGGTTTCCAAGGCTGCACTTTTTTTTTTTTTTAATTGCAAATTGAGTGATAGATTACATGGGAGAATATCAGCTTTACATTCATCCAACCGTAATTCGTTGCATTGCAATGATTACAATCCCCTCCATGCATCATCATTCAAGAGCATTTGCTTCCATTCCCTCTCGTTATTTTCTTTTTTTGGATGTTCACCAAAGCATTCAGGAATATATAACTATTCAAGGAACCAAAGGATACACCCTGCAAGCCTGCCCTCCAGCTGCCAGCACATATCCCCTCTCCCTCCCTGAGTCCAGAGTCCCCAGCTGCTCGATCTCTCCACATCATTGTCTCTGCCTCCATCTCTGATGTCGCTGCTTCTCTGGATAGGGTCCCACACTCTGCTCTTCTTCCTTGATGGTCCCAGGGTCCTCTGCTCCTGGACTGTAAGATCAACTACTCCCATCCTTTTGTTACAAAACGTCCACCTTTACATTTGCAGCATTTACAATCAGTCCTGATAGCAATTATTCACTATTGAACCTCAAGAGTCTTATCCCCATCTCCTTTCACCAGCCCCATCCAGACAGGTTGGAAACCACTCAGTTGAGATTCTACCTTCCCCGAAAAACTCTGAAATGAGGCTCCCTCTTGAAAGCTTGTAAGCCAGTCACTTGGTGCTTTTGTAGCCACACTATGTTGGGTAGCCAATATCTAAGTTGCCCATTCCTGTCAACCCTGTGTACTGAGAGGGTGGGAATGATCCTCACTGTAAAGATTTGTTCCCTCTTCTGAATTACTACATCCATAAGTATAGGTCAAGTTCATCAAACTGTAAAGCAAGGCTGCAATCTTTACATAAACACATTGCCACCTCTTTCTCCCACAGAGCAGCTGTTAGGTTTGAATGGCTGACTTCTTGGTGAGGAGCTGCGTGCTTAACCATTACACCACCAGGGCTCGTGCTCTACATATAGGTTGTTGTTTAAGAATCGTCGAGTTGGTTTCGACTCATAGCGACCCTGAATAGAGTTTCCAAGGAGCAGCTGGTGGATTTGAATGGCCGACCTTATGGTTCACAGTCTAGTGCTGATCTCACAGTGCTACACCGGGAATCCCTCTACACTTGTATGCATATACAAATAACAGAACACTTGCAATTTCAGCATTTTTTACCTGTAAAATTTAGTAACATTAATTACTTT